AACAGTGCGCGCGCCCCCCCCCCCCCCCCATCAGCACTCGGAAACGAGACATTTGAAGGTAGTGAACAATACGGGCTTCAGTGACCAAGGACACTTCTGGCAGAGGACGTCCCGCGGCCCACACCCTGAGCAGAGGAAAAGGCCTGGCCTCGATGTTGAGGGTTGGGAAGAAACAGAGAAACAGGTTCATCACTTCGGGGCACCGCTGACCTAGCCCAGAAGAAAGCAGCACAGGGGACCGTCTGTGTGCGAGGTGTGCCGGGGCAGCACGGGGCCGGGCTGACTGGCGTGGCCAGAGCGGAGGTCAGGTCAGGTGGCGTGGGAGGCTGAGGGACCGGGTTGCCAAGAGCCCTGAGCCCTGCATCTAGGACATCTAGCCAAGCAGCATAGGGACACATAGGGAGCCCAGGGGACTCCCAGTTGAGATGCTCAAATCTATAATTCTGTGTGTCACACGGGGACCCTTGGACATTTGATTCAATTGTAGGAGTGTGTGTATGTGTGTGCCAGTCGTGGGCTTGAACTCAGGGCCTTGATGCTGTTCATGAGTTTTTTTTGCTCAAGGTTAGTGCTTTCCCAGTTGAGCTACAGCTTTAGCTCTGGCCTGCTGATAGTTGTCTACCAGAGATAAGAGTCTCAGGGATTTTCAGGCTTAGGTTGGCCTCAAAATGCAATCCTCAAATCTCAGTCTCCTGAGGTAGCTATGGTTCCAGGTGTATACCGTTGTACCCACCTTAATCATAGTTTTAAGATTATGTGGGCTAGGAATGTGGCTTCATGGTAGAGTGCTTGCCTAGCATGCATGAAACCCTGGGTTTGATTCCTCAGTACCACATAAACAGAAAAAGCCAAAATGGCGCTGTGGCCCAAGTGGTAGCATGCTAGCTAGCCTTGAGCAAAGAAGAAGCTCAGGGACAGTGTCTAGGCCATGAATTCAGGCCCTAGGACTGGCAAAAAAGAGAAAGAAAGAAAAAGAGAGAGAGAGAGAGAGAAAGAAAAGGAGGGAGAAAGAAAGGGAGAGAGAGAGAGAAAGGGAGAGAGAAAGAAAGAATATGCATCCTTCTAGATAAGGCTTGAAAACCTCCTTGTAGCTGGGCACCGGTGGCTCACGCCTTTAATCCTAGCTACTCAGGAGGCTGAGATCTGAGGGGCACCATTCAAAGACAGCCCTGGCAGAAAAGTCTGTGAGACTCATCTCCAATTAACCATCAGACACTGGAAGTGGTGCTGTGGCTCAAGTGGTAGAGTGCTCGCCTTGAGCTGAAGAGCTCAGGGATAGTGCCCAGGCCCAGAGTTCAAGCCCCATGACCAACAGAAAAAAAAAAAAAGAAAGGAAAATAAAATCCTTGACCACTGCACATCACGATCCATGTACATGTGAGAAAAGCCTCAGAAGTGCGACATGGCACCCCTCCAAGTCCTTTGAGGGTGCATGGACAGTCCTGAGGTTTAAACTCTGGGCCTGGTAACTGGTAGGTAGGTACTATATCACTGATCCAATAGCCTGAGCCCCTTTTGTTTAGTTTACTTTTCAAATAGGGCTTTCTGCGTTTGGCTGGCGCCATACTTGGGTGGACTGCAGTCCTGTTCCTGAGAGCGGAGAGAGCAGGAGTGTGCCACTATGTCCTGCCTTCATTCCTGTTCTCAAACAATGGACACTGCACTCTGATGATACTCGGACTCTCTAACAAGAAATAATGGCAATGAAGATATTAAAGGCATTGCTCAGTGAAATTATTCCTGTGTTTGAAAAAATGTTTAGCAAATGAGGAAAGGTTCATGAACACTTATTTCTGTATTAGTGACTTAAAATAGTGGAGCTATTTTTGGTTCTCCCAGAGATGAATCTAATTGTGAAATCAGTGCTTCCTCAGCCTTATGGTTATCAGAAGCCCTGGAGCCAAAGCTGAACAATGAGGGAGTGTCAGGGACTAGAAGCAAAGTGGAAGCTGACTACTTTCTGCACAGTGCTAGAACCCTTGAGGCAGCGTTACTGGCAGACAAGGCACCACCGGAGGTCTGGGTGAAGTGAAGAGGGGTGGACAGGGACTCACTCACGTGGGTGAGTGGGCCCAGGGGCCGCTGCGCCTCCCAGGACCCTGAAAATTCTATGTAGGTGCCTTGCTTAAGAACCATGTTCTCAAGGGGAGCAACACCTACATCAGAAGCCATTCTAGAACTGTTAGCTAGGTATGATAGCCTAGAGCTGGTTCCTTGCTGTATCCTTAAAATTCTCCTGAAGACACAAACTAGGTTTAGATGAGGAAGGCACATATTTGTACTTAAATTTTTTTTCTTTTTTTTTTTTTTTGTCGGTCGTGGGGCTTGAACTCTGGGCCTGGGCGCTGTCCCTGAGCTCTTCAGCTCAAGGCGAGCGCTCTACCACTTGAGCTACAGCGCCACTTCCGGTTTTCTGGTGGTTTATTGGAGATAGGAGTCTCACGGTCTCTCCTGCCCGGGCTGGCTTTGAACCGCGATCCTCAGATCTCAGCCTCCTGAGTAGCTAGGATTACAGGCGTGAGCCACCAGCGCCCGGCTTTTTTCTTTTTTTATTGTGAAAATACAGTACAGAGGGGTTACAATTACATCTTAATTTAAAATTTTTTTACTTTTTTTTTGTCTTTTCTTTTTTGGTACTGGGGATTGAACTCAGGATGTTCAGCCCTTAAAACCTATTTTTTAAAAAATTAATAATGAAGTGCTAGGAGTGTAGTTCAGTGGTAAAGTGCACGCCTAGCAAGTGCAAGGCACTAGGCTCAATCCCCAGCACCTACCCACCTTCCTACCCAGCAACCTACCCTACCTACCTACATTCATACATGCCTACCTACACACACACACACACACACACACACACACACACACACACACACACAGTGAACACCTAGCAAGTGCAAGGCAGTGGGCTCAATCCCCAGCACCTACCCACCTTCCTACCCAGCAACCTACTCTGCCTACCTACCTGTATACATATATACCTACCTACACACACACACATACACATATATACCTACCTACACACATATACACACATGTGTGTATATATGCATGTACACATACATGCAGGCAAGTTTGTACTTATAAACAAAAACAATTAACTGGATATTTTACTTAGCTCAAAATCTCTTAAGGTATTAAGAAAATATTAAGCATCAGTGACTTTTTAGTTTTGAAACCGTCTTTTGCTGACAGATCCAGGCAGCCTTTTTTATAGTATATCTTTTAGAACAGAGAAGTAGTAACTATTCGGAAAGTAGAACAGTCCTGGGGTCAAGACATGTGTTTACTTGGCAAAGGCTCTACTCCTGAGCTATACTCCTAGCTCAGACAGTGAATTTTCAACCACCATTAATTTAACTGAGAAGACAATTTAAATTTAAAATACATATAACATATACATAATACATATAATTCCTATTGCTTTCTCACTCCGTAGTAGTGGGAAAAGATACTGGGTATGAACTTGTGAAATGACTACTCTCTTTAGTTCTGATGTCATTAATTCCATAATTAAGTAACTTCCTGTACCAGCAATCCATGCTTTACTATTAGCTCTAGTAGCTAGCTGTTTTTTATTGTTGTTGTTGTTGGTCGTGGGGCCTGAACTCTGGGCCTGTGCAGTGTCCCTCGGCTCTTCAGCTCAAGGCTAGCACTACCACTTGAGCACGTCAGCCCTATTTCCGGCTTTTTCTGCTTATGTGGTGCTGAGGAATTGAACCCAAGGCCTCATGCATGCAAGGCAAGCACTCTACCACTGAGCCACCTTCCCAGCCCCAAGTACTAGCTGTTTTTTTTTAAACTATATTTAAAGTTACACAAAAATCTGTGAAACATAAAACTGCCATTTTAGTCCTTTGTAAAGTAGGCAACTCAAAGCACTACATTGCAAATGTTGTATTCCATACCCACCCCCCCACTTGTCATTTCTAAACAGATTTTAAGCCCAGTAAGCAATCCTGTATCAGCTGGTTAAGAGAAAGTTAAGAAGCAAAATCAGTGTGTCTGGGCTGCTGTGCAGACAGCCAAGTGGTCTGGTTAAAATAAACAGAATGGCTACGGGGCCAATGCCTTATTGCTGTATTTTTGCATAAAAAAATTCTGGACACTTTATAAAGAGGTGACTCACAAAGGAAACCAGCAAGGTGACAGTTGTAGAAAGCGTTTCACAGAGGTCTACTTTCACATATATTTTGTTACCTATTTTGCTGTTATTTTTGCACTGCCTTCCTGAAAGTTGCTAGCAAACAAAGGGTGTAATTGGAACCCAAAGGCCAACTTGAAACACAAGATTAGAGCAGAGAAAAGACAGATGGCTCAGTAATTTCCACAAGGTAAGCAGGCGCAGGCGCAGAGCCCCTCCCCAAGCCTGTGGAGTCCGCGGGCGCCCCTCCCCTCCCCTTCCCGCAGCCCCCAGAGTCTGGCCTGCTCCTCCCAGCTGGCCAGGTGACTATGGTGAGCGCCATGGTTTCACCATGCCTTCCATCTTTTCTCCTTCACGCCACTTTTAAAAACTAATTAAAGAAAGAAAAATGGTCATCTTTGACTTTTTTTTTTGGCAACTTAATATCTTAAAGATTTTAGAACTTCCTGTCCATGCTTTAAACTGTTTTCTCTTTCTGCTACAATATTTCAGAGAATTAAAAAAATATATATATAATAAGGGGAAGAAACAGTGATACATGCTATATTTTATTCTCTAGATATATGAGGAGAAAAATAGGATTTCTCATTGTGATATGCCTAATGTTGTTTTCACCGTAATTCCTGGAATGAGAAATAAAAGCACTGAGTCCTGCACCGTATGGTGAAGGCATTCAATTTAACTTCTTCAACTATAAACATTATCATGGTTATGTCATTTTATTCAACATAAACACATAAATATCACTAGCAATGGTTAAAAATACATATTAATAAAAAATTTCCCTCATTTGCAACAAAAGAAAGCTTATAGACACAAAACATTGTTTGTACGTATATAAGCTTTTACTTTGATTTACCTCTGCGATCTCTATCCTTTTGGCCAGATCATCCAGAGAGAGACAGCTGTCATCGGCAGGCAGGCTCTCCGGGAGTGTATACGACGCCTCTTCAGGAGAAAGGTCTTGAAGATCAGAGTCGTCGTCTTGGTTGTCCTCATAGGAAACAGAGTCCTTGGTGTCTTTTAGGCACCCCAAGAGGCCGTTCAAATAGTCTTCGGTTTCCTTATTCACTTGGTCATCCTCACCCCCCTTGTCCTCTGGGGCCATGTACACTTCTGGAAGCTGAGCACTTAAGTCACATAGTTTCTTATTTTGACAAGGTGCATTCTCAGAGCCAGTCTCTGAGGCACTCTGACTCTGTGGTGATTTTCCATCGCTGTCTGCCTGATCAGACTCCCGCAGTTCATTTAGTGCATTGTTCTCCAGCGGAGCCCTGGACGACGCCTCAGAAGCACCCTGAAGTGGCAGGTGGAGCTCTGGTCTGCGAGCCTGTGAAACCAGGCTAGGAGGGGCGTGGTCGCAGCCCGGGGGGCCCAGCGGCTTTATCAACGACTCACTAGGTGGCTCTTCCTCAGGGCCAGCAGCAATGGCCCCCCCTTCGGCCACTTCTGGGTGGTCCTCTGTGTGAGCCGCCTGCAAGGAGCCAGCATGGGCAGCGGCTGCCCAGGGAACATCTGGCCCTGACCTGCTGCCTGCTGACGCTGCGGCCTGGGTGTGGCGCTCCAGCGTGGCTTCCTGGCTGCACAGCGGCTCCTCCGTGTGGCCCTTTCCTGTAGTCACTGGGAGGCCCTGGGCCTGTGCCTGGGCGTCCACTGGATTGCAGCCAGAGCTACTCTCCCGCGGAGCCTTCTCATGCTGCTTCTCTTGACATGGTTCCAAGCCAGAACAAGTTTCACTCTCTAAAGATGATGAAAAATGAGTTGTTTAAAAATGCCAAACAGTGCTTTGTACAGAACAACAGGATAGCAGCGACCCTCTAGCCTCTCATGAGAAAGTCTGTCATCAGGTGCACAGTGTACTGTAAAAGTATTTAGTAAAGTGTCAATTTAATAAGAAGTACAAATTATTCAAAAGTATGTTAGTTTTAATTAATAACAACCTTCATTTCCATGAGTGTATTTACTGACCTTGTGCATTTAAATAAAGGTAGAAAAATTACTTTCATTATACATATTTGTTTTTTTTCTTTATAAGTTGTGGGACTTGAACTCAGGAGTTTGGCGCTGTCTCTGAGCTTTTTTGCTCAAGGCTAGTTAGTGCTCTACCATTCTAAGCCACAGCACCACTTCTGGTTTTCTGGTGGTTTATTGGAGATAAGGCTAGTGTTCTACCACTTTGAGCCACAGAGCCATTTCTGTTTTTTTGAGTGGTTAAGTGGAGATAAAGAGTCTCATGGGGACTTTTCTATCCAAGCTGGCCTTGAACTGTGATCCTCACATCTCAGCCTCCTGAGTAGCTGGGTTCACAGGTGTGAGCCACTGGTACCTGGCTTTTTTTTTTTGTCAGTTGTGGGGCTTGAACTCTGGGTCTGGGTACTGTCCTCAGCTCAAGGCGAGTGCTCTACCGCTTGAGCCACAGCACCACTTCCATTTTCTAGTAGTTTATTGGAGATAAGAGTCTCACAGACTTTTGTGCCCAGCCTGGCTTTGAACTGCAATCCTCAGATCTCCTGAGTAGCTAGTATTACAGGTGTGAACCACCGGCACCCAGCTTGGTGCCTGGCTTTATACTTGATTTTTTACATAACCTTAACATAAAATGTAAGGAAAGTACTAATAAAGCTACTGAAACTAAAAAGACAAAAGTAAGTGATTTCAAATGGAAAACTTTTATGTAATACCCTTAAATGTATTTTAAAATTACTTGCAGTTTCTTAAAGCAAACTGTAGCAAAAAAAAAAAAGTCTGGGCAAGAAGTAGAAACAGATTTGAATTTTGACACCTCTTTCAATTTTTATCTGTAAGATTAATATGTACTCTCCTCTCCCCTCCCTTAACCAGTTAAGAAATATCCCTGTAAATAATGACTGGGAATAGAACTGGCTGTCGGATAGCAGAGAAGCATGCTTCCTGATGAGATCTGCTCACACCTGCTTCCTAGTGAGATCTGCTCTCACCTGCTTCCTGGTGAGATCTGTTCACGCCTGCTTCCTAGTGAGATCTGCTCACGCCTGCTTCCTGGTGAGATCTGCTCACGCCTGCTTCCTGGTGAGATCTGCTCACACCTGCTTCCTGGTGAGATCAGCTCACGCCTGCTTCCTGGTGAGATCTGCTCATGCCTGCTTCCTAATAATATCTGCTCACACCTGCTTCCTGGTGAGATCTGCTCACGCCTGCTTCCTGGTGAGATCTGCTCACACCTGCTTCCTGGTGAGATCTGCTCACACCTGCTTCCTGGTGAGATCTGCTCACACCTGCTTCCTGGTGAGTTCTGCCCTCCAACTTCCCGGTGAGATCTGTTCACACCCACTTCCTGGTGAGCTCTGCCTCCTCCCTGGTGAACTCAACTTTCTTCCACAGGCGTATTATTTAATTTACATAGTGGGCCAGAGGTGAAGATGGAGGATAAAGTAACATTCCATTTGGCTTTCCATTTATTTGTACTTTATTAGGGCATAATTGACCATCGAAGTCCATACCACACCAAAGGGAAAAACCAGCCTACTTCCCTCCCTCTCTTCCTCACCCCTTCCTTCCTTTGGATAATCACCTCATGTCTGAAAAGCAGAGGGCATCCATTCAGTAGTGTGTTATTCCTCCCATACCCACTCAAAAATCACCTAGATACTGAGAAGTTACCGTCTGGGAGAGGCCTACGTTCCTCCTCTTGCTATCTAACAATCATACACACTTTCACTGCAGGCAAACCTCTGGACATTTCCCTCCCTGGGTACTCATTATCTGAGGAGGGCCACAGCCAGCTAGAAAAAGGGCAAGCCTTTCTCCCACAGATTCCTAAGGGTCCAATAGATGGCCATCAAAGCACATGAGAGGACTGGACGGGGAACGCTGTCCCACCTCAGGGTCAGTTACCCAAAAGACCACACATATCTCAGGAGGTGAATCCTACAGGCTCCGATTAACAACCCCCCCCCCCCCCCCCCCCCCCCCCCCCCACACACACAGGAGCACTGAGGCAGCCACAAGCACCAATCCAGATAGCTGCCTGGGTCCAAGCACAGAGAAGACCTCTGAATAAAAGAATATATTGGTGTTCACATGAACTATGGACGATACAGGACCACGTGCTTGAGAACTGAAGCACAACTACTGAGTAGCTCTAAGAAATTCAAGTTACAGAATTTGTCTGGGAAACCACTATATGAGTAAAGGTGAGGCTGCCACTAGAGCTATCCCAGGAATTGCCCTCGCAAGAACTGACGAGGCAACAGACTTACAGAAGCTTCATTAACACACTGGTCTGCTGCACCCTACCATCAATAGAAGCTATGGAAAAAGACCAGCATTCCAACCACACCTGGAGAGTCATCTGTAGCACTGTCATTCCTTCGAAAGCTTGCTTCACCAGGCTGCGGGGGAGGTCCTCTCCCCGCACTCAGTCCCACCCTCCGCAGGCGAAGAGGCACTACCAGATGTCTGGTCATCGCCACAGCTTACTTGGCTGCATTCAGTTACAAACAGGAAGATCGAGTTGGGTTCCAGTTGTGAACAAAAGTGCCAAACCAACAACTTCCAAGTTAGTGCCTCAGCTTCCCCTGCTGGGCCATGCTACCACAGCAATGATGGGGCTGGGCAGCAACCAGTCATCTGCCTCAATTCAGACCAAGAGCCATGGAGCATTCTCCTCAAGGAGATGCAGCCACATCCAAACTAAGCAATTATTCTGGGACGCATGCCCCTGCCTTGGCTGTTATGAACCTGATTTTACTTTGGTTTTTGTATGAAAATGACTAGAAAAGAGACAAGAAGAATAGACCACGGTAGGGTTGATCTAAGGCAATATCCTTAACTTGCTTCACAAGAGAAACAGAGACACAGATTTGAAAACATGAAAAAGCAGCTTTCTAAGAAGGAAGGGCTAATTGATGGCAGTCCCAGCACCTGATATATGGATCACTCATCAAACACCTGCTACTTCCTTCTGCAATGCTAGGCTCTAGGCCCAGGACCAGAAAGCTCAAGAAACAGCAGAAAAAAAAATCACCCTAAAACGTTTATTCATTTTTATTTCCAATGTATTTATAATAACATACATTTAGAAATGAGTTTCTAAGTCTTTTGACAGAAGATAAAAGATGGAATAAAATACATCACACATGCTTTATAGTAGTGATATACAGATTAAAGCAAAGAGGTAAGCTGCTGTAGGTAATTCCCAAGACAGAACTTTTAACTATCTAGATTTACAGAATAGATTGCTTGTGGTTAAGTTATTTTTTTTTGAGACAGCTCTTGCTATGCTGCCAAAACTCATAATCCTCTTGCCTCAACTGGGGCTGAAGGTATGTGCAGACACAACAACTGGGGCTGAAGGTGTGTGCAGACACAACAGCTGGGGCTGAAGGTGTGTGCAGACACAACAGCTGGCGCTGAAGGTGTGTGCAGACACAACTGGGGCTGAAGGTGTGTGCAGACACAACTGGCGCTGAAGGTGTGTGCAGACACAATAGCTGGGGCTGAAGGTGTGTGCAGACACAACAGCTCTAGTAACTGTTTTTAGTTTAGTTTTTTTTTTTTCTAAAGCAGAGAAGACTGTTTAAATATACCAAATCCAATTCAATTTCTGAGCATCTAATCTAATTTTTTCTGGACCTGGGAACTGAACTCAGATTTGATATGTGTCAAGTTCTTTACTGCTGAGCTTCATACTAGCAACTTTGCAATATTTTCACGTTCTATCGGATACAAGAACCACTTACTAAACACATGGAAATAATTTTGTTTTTACAAGAATTCCATTTTTATACTATCTAAAAGTAAAACTATGCAACCTAAAAACTTTTTCTAGAAGTAGATGTACAAAAACTTAAGTGCAGAAACAATCCTCAGAGGCAATTCAGATGTGGTCCATAAAATACAACAGAAGTAGGCATCTTACCTTCCTTCGCACCCGACTCTTTGGCTGTGGTTCCTCTTTCCTTTGTATCTTCAGACACTGTTAGCTGTGTGGACCATTTCCTTTCAAGGTACTTTTCAACAGCTGCGATCTAAAATGTTTTAAAACAAACTGACTTTTTTGGGGGGAAATAGTTACATTATCTTTGAAAGCTAAAAATATCTTGAGAAATATTTATTTTTTAAAACAGCCCAGGCAACTGACATATGACACTAATATCTTCCCCCATATTTTTAAAAGAAACAATCTCTTACCTTATGTTTGGGTAAATGAGGGCTATAGAGAAAAAAATAGGAAAGAAAAAAATAAAAATAAAGAAGTACAGCATGCTTCCAAACAAATGTTACTGAAATGTCTATAAAAAAATACAGCTTCTCCAGATCTAATATTAGCCCAGAACATTTCCATTGCTGAAACACTACCACCAGCTTACATAGTTCAAAGTACAGCTAGCGACATCATAAGTTAATCTCATTACATAGCCAATGACTGCTAAAACCCCAATGAAGCTCCAAACTCTGAAATCCAGAAGTAAAAAAAGACTAACATTTTGCTAATAAGATATTTAAAGACTTCTTCACAGACATACATATTTTTAATTCTAGTCTGTATCACAGTCTAAACAGTTTATGGCAAGAGAAAACTGTAAAGGAATTAGCCATGGAAACAGATTACCAGAAAAGTAACTTTTAATTATTAAATTTTAAGCAATACCCAACATAGGAAAGGTGTGAACAAAAATATTTGTATATTATAGAGCAAGGAACAATTCAAACATTTACTGACATTAGATCAGACAGAGAAATCTCTGTACACGTACATGAAGAACCTGCACAGCAATCAAACAGAGCAAAACACATGACATGTGACACACTGCATAGCTGCATGAAGGATTCAAGAAGGTAGATTTAAACCCTGTCTGTCTGTCTGTCTGTCTGTCTGTCTGTCTGTCTGTCTATCTATCTATCTATCTATCTATCTATCTATCTATCTATCTATCTATCTATCTATATTCCTCTTATAGGAAACCACAGCCCAGGCAAATGGCAACGCTGTAAGGTGGGGTAATGGCCACAGGGGTGAATGAGGCTGGCTGTTCTGTATTTTAGATCCTGTCTGGAGTGCTAGCCAGATAGACATTTGTACAAAAAAATCATGAAACTAACATACTTAGCTGTATCTATAATTGGAAAAAAACTTTTTTGTGTCAGTTTTGGGGCTTGAGCTCAGGGCCTGGGCACTGTTTGTTCAAGGGTAGTGCTCTACTAGTTGAGCCACAGCTCTACTTCTGGCTTTTTTGGTAATTTACTAAAGTAAGAGTCTCATGAGGATTTTCCTGCCTGGGCTGGCTTCGAACCACGATCCTCAGATCTCAGCTTCCTGAGTAGCTAGGATTATAGGTGTGAGCCACCAGCATATGGCTGAAAAAATATTTTAAATATTAAAAAAAGTGTGAATAATAATTTGGGGACAGTTATCTAAAGATACCACGCTCACATTCTATACAAGTAAATGTTTATTAAGTGCTAAAATATTTGTAATATGTTAAGAAGTTATTAGTTCCATAAGGAGGGTTAAGGGAGATGTATTATCAAGTATTTTGAAAATAAAAGGAAAATAAATTGAAAGTTAACTTCAACTTACTAAAAATATAGGCTTTAGCTGGGTGTCACTGGCTCATACCTATAATCCTAGCTACTCAGGAGGCTGAGATCTGAGGATAACAGGAAAGTGTGAGATTTTTATCTCCTACTAAACACCAAAAAGCCAAAAGTAGAAGCTGTGGTTCAACTGTAGAGCCAACCTTGAGCAAAAAGATTTTACTTCAGAATTTCTGAAAATACTGTTTCAAAAGTCCAAAGTGAACCTAGTAATTTCACCATACCCATTTAAATTTCTTGATTTAAAAAGATAAAAGCCCAGAAAAGTTGATTATATATTTCAATGCTTAGTATATTTCCTTATTACCCAATTCACTCTGAATTATGACATACTTACTCTTGATGAGTTGTACAAAGTTTAGCAAGCTGTTCAAAATCTTCACCATCAAGTCCTTTTTCTGAATTCCTTAGAGGTGTAACTGTCTGTGACTGTACACTTTTCCATTTCATTTCTAAATTTAAAATATTTGTTAGTCACTGGCTTCTATAAAACATATTTAAGAGGGAAAAACAGTTTGTTGGCACTATTAATAAAAGTTAATAAGCAAAGTTACCTTCTCAAACAATTCAAGAGATAACAGTTAGATGTAGCTACACAATTACTTTGCAGTATAAGGAAACATCATCCCAGAGACTGAAGTAGCTAGTAGTGCATGTAATCAGAATAAATGCAGAAAGTGGCTCAGTTCTTCTCTTGGCATTTACCAAGAACACAATGCAAGGAAAATGATTTTCTTACAGTGAAACACAGCTGTGGCCAAACAGTTAACATTATTTGTAACATCTTTCTTTTCCTTTCCTATTTTATGATGTTGGGGAGGAACCTGAGAGTCTTGTACATGCTAGGCAAGAGCTCCATACTGAGCTACCCCCCAGGCTATACACTGGATTGTGGAACTTCTACTTTCTGATTTCCCAAATCTGGTTGAATTGTTAGGTTATTGATAATTCCAATCGGCTAGTGTGTACTCACCCCATTGCTCTTGTATGGCAGAAAGATTTGCAAGCAGTTGCTCATGATACAGCCGTTCCAGCTGAATGAATTTCATTGCTTTCTCATCTGAATAGAAAATTTGAGGAAAATAGAAATCAAGACTATTTACAGGGCTGGGAAGGTGGCTCAGTGGTAGAGCGCTTGCCTTGCATGCATGAGGCCCTGGGTTTGATTCCTCAGCACCACATAAGCAAAAAGAAAAAAGCCATTAGTGGCGCTGTGGCTCAAGTGGTAGAGCGCTAACCTTGAGCTGAACAGCTGAGGGACAGCGCCCAGGCCCAGAGTTCAGGCCACACGACCGGATCCCCCCAAAATAAATAAATAAATAAAAGACTATTTACATTAAATCCCATTTGGAAAAGAATGTGCTCTCTTAGGTGAGAGATTTGCATCTGACCCAAAACAAAAAAAGGAGAGGATTCTAAATTAAAAATACTTAAAGTAAGGTTTCCTGGTTTTGAAATAGGTACATTTTATTGTAGATCAGCAAACAGTAGACATTATAAAGTTTTTAGTTCATACCTATTTGCTGAATATATTTCTGGCACAGACAACTAAAAGTTATTTAACTGGAAATAACCTACATGGAATGTTTTAAGTCTATGTGTTTTCCTTTTTGAAATTCTCTTTAAACCATTTTTTGCCAGGCAATGATAAGACTGCTTCTGGTTTAAACCCACCCTGACCCTTTACTATAGTTCTCCATTGAATGCTCTCCTCAGGACCAGAGGGCCACACGCTCAATGACAGGCCAAGAACTTCCCTGGCCACACGCTCAACGACAGGCCAAACATTTCCCTGGCTCTTTAGAAAACCTTTCCTCATGCCAGCAGTCATTGTCCTTCCCATCTGCACAACACATTTGCATCTTATGAGGTCAACCTGCTACCTTCCTCTCGGCAATGTTCTAAATGCTGACCCAGAAAAGCAGGAGAAACTCACAGCTTCGCCTTTATCCTTCCCACGAACATGTGGTGGTTCAGATGTCCCTCTCATCCATCGTCTTAAAGGTGTCCCTGGGAGGGATCTTTAACTCCACTTTCCTATGTGGGAGCAGGACATGTTCCTCTGTCTTCTCCATTTCTCCCTGCTTTATCATGTTATTCTAAAATAAATCCTTTAAAACTTAGAAACAGGAACAATTCTCTCTGACCTCTGCCAGAGACTTAAAATACGCCAGTGCTTCTCAAACTTTATTGAACAAAAAAATGATCAGAAAAAAACTTTCATAGACAGGATCATGGTTCTGACCCCACAGAGGCTCAGATTCTGAGGCCTGTGACTTGTATTTCTCAGAAGTTCTCAGCGCTGCTGTTTTCTATATAAACTATAGCATGTACTAGCCAAATCGTTTGGTTAAGAGGAGAGAGTTCTCTCTTTACATCCACCAGAATTATATTTTCATTTAATAACTGACTGCCGTATCTGAAGCTGGACTTCAGTTCCTCAACAGCTTTCAAGCCAGTACTTGCTTTGCTTCATTCTGCTCAGAAATGTGATGAGAGTTAAAGAGATTAGGAAGAAAACTATACACTAATAGGGAAAATCAAATGCTTGGGATACATTCTGCTTTTAGATTATATAGTGGGCCATCCCAAAAGGAATTTTAAAAAGAGAAATGACAGGTCAGGCTAGTGGCTCACACTGTAATCCCAGCCGCTCCGGAGGCTGAGTTAAGAGGATCACAGTCCCTGGATGGCACAAAGCATGGGTACAAAGCGTGGAATCCTATCTGTGAAGTAACCTAAAGCAAAAAAGAGCTTGAAGCATGGCTCAAGTAGCAGAGTGTGCAAACCCCAGTACTATGGTAGGGGTTAGGAACGTTTCTTACAAAAGTTAGTAAGTGGTCTCACATGGAAACATCTCTTCTGCTTATCCCCAAGAAGAGCTGCCTTTCTTGTGCAGCTACATACACCCATGATCCACATACAGAGACATTTTGGTCAGCGATGAGCTACATGCAACCAGGGGCCCATACAATTATAACCTAACAGTAGAGCAGCTGTCTTAGCGTGATGTTTCCCGGCAACAAAATCACCTACGGATGCAATTCTCAGAACTTGCCCTTACCACTCATGACTTAGCTGTAATAAGACGGTCACAGGATTACTATATGTAATATACCCCCTATATGCTATGAATATTATTTGATGTGCATGAGAACAGGAAGAAAATCAAATGGATTTTTGAATTTTATTTTTCAGCAAGGTGTGCTTTTTCTTCTGAACATAAATATTTAATTTTGGTAAAATTAGGGCTTATTTATGAGAAGTCCAATTTAGATGTGTCTAGAGAATTTTCAGGAGTGACTGACATGTTTCCTACACCTTGCTTTCTGTGAGGTCACTGTCAAGACTCTATGGAAACCATATGATCTATATACACTGACTGCATACTCTCCAACATTACAAATAGATAGTTCTCTAAAGGTTCTATGGCTCTTACAATTAAGAAAAGGATACAGTCTTCTTCCTGGAAATAGGACTCTGCTACCTGTTAAAAACAGAAAATCAGAATTAAGTTAATATTTAGGTTTACAAGAAAATTCAGAAGAAATACAGATCTGGAAACTGAGTGTTTTGACATGAAACTAAGACTTAGTTAGCCTATCCACCATTGTAGGCACAGGACACTCTTGAAGGCCTGCTCATTTCAAGCAAAGCAAGTATGAGCCTGTCCTTTGCATTGTATTAAAAGACATTACAAACCGCCCTTATTGGTCAGAATGAGAAAATGGCACATGCATTTATGAAGGTATACTATGAATAGACTGAAAAGCAGAAATGCGTCCTGTCACGTGAGACCCTATCACCTCACGCATCCCATCCCATTCCACAAGTTCCACCTGAAGCTCTCAAGGGACATGGACTTTTAGTTGTATTTTGATAGTTTTAAAAAGGTCAGGCCAGGAAGTAAAGCTGTGGCTCAAGTGATAGCATGCTAGCCTTGGCCAAAAAAAGCCCAGGAACAGTGCCCAGTGCCCAGGTCCTGACTTTAAGCCCCAGGACCAGCACAAAAAAGAAAGATGGGGGTGGGAGGTGGGGTGGTGGAGGAAGGGAAGGAGCGAGGGAGGGAGGGAGGTAGGAAAGGGGGGAAGGGAAGGAAGGAAGAAAGGGAAAGAAAGAGAAAAAGAAAGGAAGAGAAAGAAAGAGAAAGAAAAGAAAGGTCAGGCTAGTAGATTACAGAAGTAGCTCAGTGTAGAGGAGTTGTCTAGTATGTGTGATGTCTTGGGTTTGATCACACACACACACACGCACGCACGCACGCACGCACGCACGCACCCACCAGGTGCTGGTAGATTATGCCCTTGTCCTAGACATTCAGGAAGCTGACATCTGAGAATCACAATTCAAAGCCAGCCTGGGCTTTCCTAGTCTGTGGGACTCTCTCTCCAATTAACCAATAAAAAGCAGGAAGTAGAGCTGTGGCTCAAGTGGCAGAGTGCTAATCTTGAGCAAAAAAGCTCAGAGATAGAACCCAGGCTGATAGCACCCAGGACCATGACCACCACCACCACCACCACCACAATCAAAAAAAGGTAAAGAGAAAAAAGAAGAGGCAAGTGTGCTAATCACTGAGCGATAATGTTTAGGATATGCAGAGGGCTGCAGACTGTCGAGTTCAAACATGTAGGAGCCGGTCCCCGTGAAGGCTCATCACTTACAAGACTCAGTCTAAGGCATCTGTAAATTAAGTTTTCTTGAGCGGGGCACACACATCATCCCAGACGAGGCAATACTCTTCTGTGAGCCCAGGAACTAGAGATAGCCTGAGCAACAAGGGTAGATAGTTTACTTATTTATTTATGTCAGTCATGGGGCTTGAACTCTGGTCCTAGGTGCTGTCCTTCAGCTCTTCAGCTCGAGGCTAGCACTCTAAGACTTAAGCCACAGCACCACTTCCAGTTTTCTGGTGGTTAATTGGAGATAAGAGTCTCATGGACTTTCCTGCCTGCGTTGGCTTTGAACTGTGATCCTCAGATCTCAGTCTCCTGAGTAGCTAGGATTATAGGCATGAGCCATCAGCACCTGGCTAGATATTCTATTTATGAATTGACAGTAAAACTAAGTGTTCCCTGATAAGTATTTGCATAAACTGTTGTCATATTTATAACATTTCATACTTTTAAAACTGGGTACTGATGGTTCACACTTATAATCCTAGTTACTCAGGAGGTTGAGATGTGATCATAGTTGTTCAAAACCAGACTAGACAGGAAAGTATATAAAACTCTCAATATGAAGAATAATAAGAGACTTGTTGAACTTATAAATCAGCAGTAAAAGGGAAAAATTTCCCCCAAATATCCTGGTGGAAACAATATATGCTTGGAAGGGAAAAATCTTGCCTACTTTAAATAATTTTAATCTTTTCCCTATGAGCAATGAGGATAACTAGAGCTAATTACCTCTTGTAGTTTTACTATAAATATAAAGGAGATTTATTTTATATTGAAGATTCTGCAAAGGACAAGTTGATTTTTTATGACTTTTATCAACTTATTATTCTGTTATAGAAATATTAGCTAGAACTAACTCAGATCACCAGTATTCACTTACAGTTTTTACCCATGGACTGTGAGGATCAGGTGGCAATGTAGCCGGTGGTGCTGTGACAAATGCTCAGCAGTGAGCTCTGGGGCGTGGAGAGCCCTGACTTGCAGTGCTTGCATGTCTCTGTGCTGTCCATGCTCCCACATGCCTGCTCTGGTGCAACTGTCCATGACTGGTATCAGAGAGCAACAAGTTACCAGTGAGTCCTGTAGCCCCAGCATTCAGGGTTGCACCTAACAGAAATCAGTGCGAACTGTTCCACTATGAACTTCTAGTGTCCCCCTACTAAGCACAGGGCTTAAACTCAGGGCCTGTGCTTGTTCCTGAGCCTTTTTGCTCAAGGCTAGCAGTCTACCACTTGAATCATAGTGCCACTTCCAGGCTTTTCTGTGATTAATTGAAGAATCTCACAGACTTTCCTGCCCAGGCTGGCTTTAAACTGAGACCCTCAGCCTCCTGGGTAGCTGGGATTACAGGCATGAGCCACTAGCACTTGGCTTAAGAGACTGGACACAGTGGTGTACATCTATCATCCCAGCAATGATAAGGTACCTAAAATAGGTGGATTGCAGTCCAAGCACACACCTGGGCAGAAAGCTCAAAAATAACCAGCAAAAACTAGGGCTGGGGCATAGCTCAGTAGTAGAATGCCTGCCTAGCAAAAGCAAGAGCAAGAGCTCTGAGTTCTAATCCTGATACAGAGACAGACAGACAGAGAGGCAAGGGAAAGGGGAGAGGGGAGAGAGAGAGAGAGAGAAGAAAGGATAAGGACAGGCAGAGAGACTGGGAGAGGGAAGGAGAGGGGCAGGGGCTGCTACTTTTCTTAACAAACCTCAATTTCTTCACACGATTCTTCTCTGCATCTGGAGCTTATGGTTCTGCCCCAAACCCAGACGCCTCCTACAGCACTTAGCACCAGGTGTCACCTCGCTGTGTTCCCACGGACATGGGTGTTAATGTCCACTTTAAGATAAGAAAGTTGAGGCTCAAGATATAAAACAACGCATCCAAATCCCTCAGCCGCTGCTACTGAGGCTGGCTCCTACAGGTCACTTGCTTCTAAACTCCTCAGCACTGTGTTCTGCCAGATGCTTTTAGATTCAGACATAGCAAAGAGCAGGGAAAATGGCATCTCTTGTTTTGCTGGACTTACTTGGGGGACACTTTTATAAAGGAAATACTGCCATAGTAGAAGTCCGTTCCCTCCTTCCTCCGGCGCCCCTCCCCCCAAGTAATCCCAGCTGAATATTCAGGAGGCAGGGACAGGAAAATAAGAGGTTTGAGGCCAGCCTGGGCAAAAGTTATTAAGATCCTACCTTAAAAAACAGACTAAAAGTAAAAGGACTAAGGACAAGTGGTAGAATGCCTGACTGTAAGTGTGAGGCCCTGAGTTCAAACCCTTCCACTGGAACAATAACAGTAATGTTATTAATAACAACTAAATTACTGTATTAGGTCAAATGACTTGGATTGATAATGACCTTGTAGGTTACACAGGAATATCCTTCTCCTGGGGAGATACACCTGCAAATATTCAGCAATGACGTGACAAAATGCTTGCAAATTACTTTCAAATATCTCAGTGGGGAGAGGGAGGGCGAACAACTGCCTGAGACAGAAAACACTGAAGTCTGACCGACTGTCAACAACCAGCAAATGTGGGTGAAAGGCAGCGTGCCAACCTGGGAATAACTGAAATGAACACAATGTACCTCCCGACGCTCCACTGCGGGTCCCTTGAGAGGTGACAGGATGTTTTGTATTTCTGCACTGAGGATGCTACCACCAGCTGATTCCTGTTGCTCTAGGTCTCAGTCTATTGAAGTCCTTAGCACCGATTTGCCGATCCTCAGCCCTGACCTCTACAATCAATCTTTGAGTGGTTGAGGTAAGAGTAGAATTGTGTTGCTCTGTATTTAGCATTTATTTGGATTCTGCTGTGCACCAAACCCTGCATTATTTGCTTTTTCATGCACTGACTCATTTAATACACTGCAACGTTCCAGAAGAAGAGCCCCAACCACTTGGCTCATCGGTGGTAGAACCAAGCCTGTGCTTCTAAAACAGGAGACAGTGCTGACAGTTCGGAAGCACCACCTACAGGACTTAGTAATCTGGGTTATTTCTGGGAGATGGGGAGGAATTCTGAGACATAAAAAAGTTAAACAACCTTCATTATCAACTCTCTGCCTACAAACCTATCCCTTATACATTAGATCTGCTTCTGTGACGGAACTGCCTGCGGTAGAAAATGCCATTCCTACCTCCAATAAAGCAACACGGTAATTCGCCATTTCCCTCTTGTACTAAAAGTCCTTCACCTCATTCCAAACACTAGGGAAATTGATAGCCAACTGACCCATTTGGCAATGACCAACTTTTTGTGAACTTTGTTTTCTCAGCATTTCTTCTTCATGTTTTTCCCATACTTAAAAAAAAAAAAAAAGCCAGGCACTCATGGCTCAAACCGGCAATCCTAGCTACTCAGGAGACAGATGTGAGGATCACTGTTTGAATCCAGCACAGGAAGGAGAATCTGTAAGATTCTTATCTTTACTAAACTACCAAAAAGCCAGAAGTGGAGCTGGGGTTCAAGTGGTAGAGTGTTATCTTTGAGCACAAAAGCTCAAGGATAGTGCCCAGGCCCAGAGTTCCAGCCTCAAGTCAGGCACCAGTAAATCATGCCTGCAATCCTACCAACTTGATTCTATCTTGATTCAAAGCCAGGCTGGGCAGAAATGTCTGTGAGACTCCATCTCTAATTAGCAGCAAAAAAAAGCTGGTCTGGGAGTATGGCTCATATGGTACAGTGTCAGCTGGGAGCAGAAGGAGGCCCCACTACCACACCCACACACCAGGAGCTTATGCTGGTAATTCTAGCTACTTTGGAGGCTAAGAATGGTGGTTTACAAGAGGCCCTATCTCAAAAATAACCATCAAAACACTAGAGTTTTGGCACTGGCCTCGCAAGCAAGCTAAACAAGCACAAGTCTGAGTTCAATCCCTAGACTGGAAACAACAACAACAACAACAACAAACCCTAAATACGCCAGCAGCTGGTGGCTCACACCTATCATCCTAGCTACTCAAGAGGCTGAGATCTGAGGATCACGGTTCAAAGCCAGCCCAGGCAGGAAGGTCTGTGAGATAAACTACTCAGAAAAACTGGAAGTGGCACTGTCACTCAAGTGGTAGAGTGGTAGACTTGAGCTGAAGAGCTCAGGGACAGCACCTAGGCCCAGAGTTTAAGCCCCATAACCAACAAAAAAAATCAAAACCATTAGCCTGGCTCACACCTGTAATCCTAGCTACTCAGGAGGCTGAGACCTGAGGATCAAGGTTCAAAGCCAGCCCGGGCAGGAAAATCCGTGAAACTTCTTACCTCCAATAAACTACCAGAAAACTGAAAGTGGTGCTGTAGCTCAGGTGGTAGAGTGCTAGCCTTGAGCTGAAGAGCTGAGGGACAGCGCTCAGGCCCAGAGTTCAAGCCACACGATCGACCAAAAAAAAAAAAAACTAAATAATTAAATATATTTATAGGCTTAATACAAACAAATAAGCATTGTTTTGGAGATAGATCTCACTCTGTAGCCTGGCTGAGTCTCTTGCCTTTGCTGCTGAGTACTAGGATTGCAGATATCTGCTATTATGCTCACACTCCCATTGGAATATTGAAGTAAACTTTGGGCATTATGTCAATTTTTCTCCAAATACTTGCACAGGAATTATCCAAGAACAAGGAGAATCTATACAACCTATCATGACATCATCCACATCTAGAAATGATACCGCATTACAATATTCTATTTCATTTGCAGCTGATACTCAACTTTCTCACAGGTTGTTTTAGAAGCAGATGCACTAAAGTCAAGTTCTAGCACAAGTGCTATGAGGAGCTTTTCTTGGTGATGAAATCTTAGTTGCCCAGCCGAGAGCAGCCCTGCCTAAGGTTACAGATTGCCTGACTGACTGATTGTGCTGACCCTGGGGCTTGAACTCAGGGTCTGGGTGCTATCCTGAGCTTGTCTTGCTCAAAGTGTAGCATAATTGATAAAAAATAAAAATAAATAACACAGAAGTAAATGAGATAAAAAGGATAACTTCTCTATTCTGTATACCAATTATACGAATGGTTTTCTGGTCGGTCTTGGGGCTTGAGCTCTGGGCCTGGGCACTGTCCATCAGCTCTTCAGCTCAAGGTGAGTGCTCTACCACTTGAGCTACAGTGCCACTTCCAGTTTTCTGGTGGTTAATTGGAGATAAGAGTCTCATGGACTTTCCAACCTGGGCTGGCTTTGAACTGTGATCCTCAGATCTCAGCTTCCTGAGTAGCTAGGATTATAGGCGTGAGCTACCGGGCCTGGCGTCAAGTATTTAAAGTTTTTCTGAATGAGCTCTTATGGAACAAGGCTTCCTACTTGTTGTCCTAACGGCCTCCCATTCTCCAGTTTACCCTGCAGTCACTACACACTGGTGTCTGGAGCTGGGGAATATGTGGCTCAGTGGTAGAGTGCTGCCCAGCACGCACAAGCTCTGGTTTTGATCCCCATCTGACATTCTCATTAAAAGTTCCCAGTTCCTACTGTCACGTCCCTTTTCCACCTCAGTCATGGCTCTCAGGGCTGATTTCTTTTCTGGTACAGTCACCTAATGAGGGAGTACCTGTCAGCCCAGACAACCTGGCAGAGCTGCCTGCCTTTCCTTAATGCCACGTGGGCAAATTAGTTCCCGTTTCATTCTGCTGGATCTTGTACATGTCTACTCTGGAGAATTCTACACTCTACAACTCTTACTTAGTCCACAGTGCTTTGTTAAGGGTGCTCCCTATTGCAAGTCTGTTGGTTCTCCAGTGATTAGCTTTGGCTTGTGGTACCCAGTCGGGCTCAGCAAGCCTTGTGGCATTGCCCCTCCCCCCCCCGTTTATACACAGCAGAATCACTGAGTAAGAGCAGCTGGTCACTGTGCAAGCTGCAGATCATCCACGGCTCCTGTGTGACCCAGAGAGTGACCCACAGGGCTTTCCCAGGCTCAGACCCAGGGTCACTTCACTCAGCACAGATAGAAGATGGATTTGGTTCTGGAAAACTGGGTTTTGGATTACTGCAAACACTGAAGTGGGTTTTGGTGAGGCTGGAAGTGAAGGGTCAGGGTGGTACCTGATGGAGCCAGAGGGGAAGAGCTCTGGAGTCCACCTGCTCAAGCCCGCCACGTATGAGTGAAAGCAGAGGCTGCAGAACTGGCTTGGGGGTGTCAGCCGCCTCCTCAGCAGCGGCAGCAGGGGCTGCACTCACTGTCTTCGCTTGTGTGGGACACGCAGCATTTCCTACAGAACGGAAAGGAATACATGCCTGGGTTAGGAAAAACGCCCACCACAGAGGAGCACAATAAAACCAAACAGTTATGTTTAGTAATAGTAAAACCTCCAAATAAAACTAGCCATATTAAACACAACAGAAACCACAAGTTGTTGTCTTTAGTAAGGTTGTGACATCTTATTGCTGCTATTAACATACATGTAAACCACTTATGCAAAATTACAATGGAGAATATTAATGAAGAGATTCAACAAAAGTATGGGGCTAAAGTGGCGCTGTGGCTCAAGTGGTAGAGTGCTAGCCTTGAGCTGAAGAGCTCAGGGACAGCCAGGCCAGGCCCAGAGTTCAAGCCCCACGACCGATAAAAAAACAAAAAACAAAAAATGAAAGTATGGGGCAAAAAGCTGATCAAAAGCTGGGTGTGAGCCGGGCGCTGGTGGCTCACGCCTGTAATCCTAGCTACTCAGGAGGCTGAGATCTGAGGATCGCAGTTCAAAGCCAGCCCGGGCAGAAGAGACCGTGAGACTCCTATCTCCAATAAACCACCAGAAAACCGGAAGTGGCGCTGTAGCTCAAGTGGTAGAGCGCTCGCCTTGAGCTGAAGAGCTGAGGGACAGCGCCCAGGCCCAGAGTTCAAGCCCCACGACTGACAAAAAAAAAAAAAAAAAAGCTGGGTGTGGGGGGGCTGGGAAGGTGGCTCAGAGGTAGAGCGCTTGCCTTGCATGCTCAAGGCCCTGGGTTCGATTCCTCAGCACCACATAAGCAAAAAGAAAAAAGCCGGAAGTGGCGCTGTGGCTCAAGTGGTAGAGCACTAGCCTTGAGCTGAAGAGCTGAGGGACAGTGTCCAGGCCCAGAGTTCAGGCCCCATGACTGACCAAAAAAAAAAAAAAAAAAAAGCTGGGTGTGGGCCAGGCGCGGCGGCTCCTGCCTTCAGCCTAGCCACTCAGGCAGCTGAGATAGAAGCCAGCCTAGGCAGGAAAATCCTTAAAACTCCAATTAACCACCAGAAAGCTGGCTTAAGGGATAGAATACTAGCCTTGAGAACAAAAGTGCAGGGACAGTATCCCAGGCCTTAGTTCAAGCCCCAGGATACAGGAGGGACACACACACACCACACACACACACACACACACACAGCTACGCAAGCCCCAGGATACAGGAGGGACACACACACACACACACACACACACACACACACACACACACACACAGCTACGCAAGCCCCAGGATACAGGAGGGACACACACACACACACAGGGGAACAATGCTGGGTATGGTGGGACACATTTGTGATCTCAACACTAGCTGGGATAGGAGGATCATGAATTATAACCCAGATGTTAAAAAACAAACAAACAAACACACACCAAAAACCTGACCAAAAAGAGTACCTATAATTTGGCATTCTTTCTTTCCCAAATTAAAAGCCAGAACAGACCTAGAAGGTAAATACATTGCCCTGTGAAGGAGCTGAAGAAGTTGAGTCTTTCTTTTTAAAATATGGTCAGGTAACATTAGAATTCATCATTCATTCCAGATCCCAGTTTGGGGAAGAGAGCTTTCTGAGGCCAGAGCTTAAAGCCAGTGAAATGGTTTTTCCACTAAACACAAGTAATTCAAACTTCTGAAAAATCATTGATAAATGATTCTTGGTCCAAAGCTACTAAGCTCTGCCTCACTTTCAGTCTTCAATCATCGCAAGTGAGAGCCTCCAGCTGGCGGTCCAGCACACAGGGTGTGCATGGCAGTCCAGGCCGCCCCACCTCCAGTGCGCCCGGCTCGCTTTCCTCTGCCCTCCAAATAAGCTCACTGCTCTGTTCTGGTCAAATTGGTCTTTTCCTCATCTCACTAGTAAAATACTCTGCACAAAAAACTTCTCTATTTTTACATGTTGTAAACTTCAACTGATTGCATGGAGGACTTGCAACTTCACAGGTCTCACAGGTGCATGTGTGTCAGTGCTTCTTCATCACAGCCCCCGTTCCTATGCAAGCTGCTCCTCACCCCAGATTCATTTCAGATGTCCCGCTTCTATTTTTTCACATATGTATATTGAATCTTCTGATGGGGAATAGAGGTAAATACCTACTTTTAATATAACTTCTGAAAAAAAAACTGGTAACTGTGAGCTTTCTTCAAATATATCCAGCATATTAGTACTTGGTTGTTTAAGTCGAGTTAATTACTGCTTACTGGAGATGAATTTTGAAGTAAAGGAGGCTGTGTCTTCTCACTGTTGTCCAGTCACAGTACTACACCCAAGACATTTAGCCTCACATGCACTATGGGAAAGACAGCTTCTCATACGCTGTTCACCTCAGTTAAACTCTTCCCACGTAGTTATTAGTATACGGCTCCAAACTTCTTTGTAAAATAAAAAAAGGTGAAACTTCATAACGTTCATTTTCAGCACAAGAGAGATAAACTCCTTGAGGATGTTTATCACAAAGGGGACCCCTCTCCCTGCCAACGATAAGGAGAAAGGATGGAATTGGAGAGACATTTCCCGAAAAAGGAAAAAACAAAAAAGGTCCTGAACAGATGCAGGGTGATTCTCTCATTTGACAGGGCACCAGCCAAGAATACAAGGCCCCGATTTCAAACTCCAGAACCAAAGAGGAGGTGAGTATTAAAATACTTAGCTTATTACTCACTAACACTGTTTGTGCATGACTGAACTTGGTTTTGTTTCTGTCTCACCAGCAGTAACATACAGTATGCAGGCTTTTCAGGTTGCTTCTTTCACTTAGCAATGGGCATTTCAGTTTCCTTCGCATCTTTTCATGGCTTAATAATTCATTCCTTTTTTTGGTTGTGGAGCTTGAACTCTGGGCCTGGGCACTGTCCCTGAGGTCTTCAGCTCAAGGCTAGCACTCTATTACTTGAGTCACAGCGCCACTCCCGGCTTTTTCTGCTTATGTGGTGCTGAGGAATGGAACCCAGGGCTACATGCATGCAAGGCAAGTGCTCTACCACTAAGCCACATACCTAGCCCCTCATTCCTTTTTTTAAGTACTGAATATTTCATGGAATTGTGTTTTGCTAGTACTAGGGTTCCAACTGAAGAGCTTAGGGCTGACTAGGCAGGCATTTCTATTATTTGAGTCTTACCCCTACACCTTTTTCTTTTTTTCTTTTTTTTGTCGGTCATGAGGCTTGAACTCTGGGCTTGGGTGCTGTCCTTGTGCTCTTTAGCTCAAGGCGAGGGCTCTAACACTTGAGCCACAGCGCCACTTCTTGTTTTCTAGTGCTTTATTGGAGATAAAAGTCTCATAGACTTTCCTGCCTGGGCTGGTTTTGAACTGCGATCCTCAGATCTCAGACTCCTGAGTAGCTAGGATGACAGGTGCCCGGCTCCTACACCTTTTTCAAATATGACACTGTATAGTGTTTTTGCCTAAACTGGTCTGGACCACACCCTCCTATTTACATATCCCACATAGATGGAACAAGAATGCACCCCTTGAAATGGGGTCACATTAACTTTTTGCCGAGGTAGAAAAACCCCTTTTTGCCTATCTCCAGTTCCTGAGTATTGGGAGTCTAGGTGTGAGGCATTGTGCCCTGCTCCATGGACTTGATTTTCATATAGGCAGTAGAAGACAAAATTATAGTAAGTGAACTGACACCTTTATATAATGTTCTAAAAAATTTAAAAATAATATTAATATAGCACTCACAATACAAAAGCCTTCTTAAAAAATAAATCCAACTGGGCACCAGTGACTCATGTCTGAAATCCTAGCTACCTAGGAAATTGAGATCTGAAGATCCCAATTTGAGGCCATTGAGGGCAGGAAAGTTCATGAGACTCTTATCTCCAATTAACCACCAAAAAATTAAGAGTTGTGGCCCAAGGGTTAGAGCACTATCCTTGAATACAAAAGCTTAGGGAGAGTGCTCAGGGCCCTACATTCAAGCCCTATTCAGCAAAACATAAATTAAAATAAATCTAGCCTGGTACCAGTGGCTCAGCTTATAATCCTAGCTACTCAGGAGGCTGAAATCTGAGGATGTAGGTTCAAAGCCAGCCTGTACAGGAAAGTCCATGAGATTCTCATCTTCAATTAATCACCTAAAAAGACTGGAAGTAGAACTGTCGTCTTAATTGGTAGAACTTTTTTTTTTTGGGTCCGGTTGTGGGGCCTGAACTCTGGGCCTGGACGCTGTCCCTCAGCTCTTCAGCTCAAGGTTATCACTTGAGCCACAGCGCCACTTCTGGCTTTTTTCTTTTTGCTTATGTGGTGCTGAGGAATCAAACCCAGGGCCTCAGGCATGCAAGGCAAGCGCTCTACCACTGAGCTACCTTCCTAGCCCTTAATTGGTAGAACTTTGACTGGTAGCTTTGTGCTAAAATGCTAAAAGAAAGTGCCCTGGCTTTGAGTTCAAACTCAGAGCTAAGTTTATTTTGTACTAAAATTCCTTATAATATGTAATGGTTTTCCATTAAAGATATATAGTTAAGGAAGAAAACCAAATGAAAATGTGAGCTGCCACATGCCATTACTCCTTTATTATAAATTTCCCTTCTGTACATCCAATAGATTTACATTGCCATGTTTGAACCATACCACTGGAAGGAAACAAAAAATCCTTTTCCCCTTCTCTGTCAAACCCAAGTGAACTATCATTGAAACTATCCATTCAGCAAAACGGTGGTGCTATTTATGTTTTATAGACTGTGACGGGCAAATTCATGAGTCCCAATTTGGTGTAACACCTGTCAAATTCATCAAGTTCTAAAATGAGGATTACAGTTTTACTGTTTTTAAAAAAAGAAAGATGCAAAAGTATCTTTATTCACAAATGCCATAATAGACCATGAGGAATATACAAACAAATTAATGAAACTAATGAGTATAACAAATGTGTAATATATATGATAAATACACAAAAATCAATTACATCATTATATATTTGCAAAACAAATTATAAATGAAATTTTAAACGCTGTCTCCAAATATTGGTGAAATAACCTAAAATGCAACAAAAATTCAAATTTACACTT